TCACGCCCCAAGGTGTATGTTTCAACATTTCTCGCCGCACTAAAACTAATTCCTTAACGATTACTTACCTTTATTTTTCCGACAGACCATCGCTTTGCGTTGCTCGTTGTGTCCAACACTACGTCGCCTCCCCCTACGTGCGACCACACAAGCCAGTGTCTTGTCCCACGATTGCCCGCCGGATTAAATGGCTTCTAGATTCAGCGGGCATAGATTCATCTTTTGGCGCTCATTCTGTCAGAGGCACTGCTGCCTCTTCCGCCTTTATAGCTGGGGGATCCCTTGCAGACATCCTAAAATGCGCTGATTGGTCTAGAGAATCTACCTTCCGTACCTTCTATTTTCGACAATCGTCCCATGCTTCTTTTTCTTTGGTTTCCACGCTTTAAAACAGCAAATATGAAGCCTCCTGTCTTGCCATAAAATTCGGGATTATTCTAGCGTTAGTGACTGAATAATCTAAATTTTATTAAAGACAGGAGGCGAATATTTTCCCACCCTATTGCTCTCCCACCCAGATTTTTTTCAGATCACATGTACTCTTAAAATTTTTTCTAGGTTTCTTGTGAGACTTTATATTTATCTGACTGTTTTTCTTGTTTGCTCTGTTTAGGTGCTTATCAATCTGCCTGGTTCTGATTATTTAAAATTTTGCAATAGTTATACTCGTAATATCCAGGGGGTAGATCTGTAAATGTAGATATCTTGCGGACACCCAGTCCAAGTGACCATACTTTCACGATCTTTCTCTGTCTTTTAGTGTGAAGTTTCTCAACATGAGCCACGAAGACTACGTTCCTTTGGTCTCTAGTATCGGCTGCGTTCTGTTTTACATGGTTGATGGATTACTCAAGTTTACACGGTTGACTACACTTATGATCGGCTGCATCAGAAAGAGGATTTGGGAGGAGCCTGACAGACTGTTATGTTCTAATATGTGTCCTGATTGGTTGATTTTTTCTCTATATGTTTAACTATTTCTTTGCTGCTGGGAGGTTCAGTAAAGAAGGTTTAAGCAAATATTCGCCTCCTGTCTTTAATAAAATTTAGATTATTCAGTCACTAACGCTAGAATAATCCCGAATTATATAGACGATGTCAATATTTCCATCCTTTTTTATCTGTTCTGTTCCCCTGTATTTGCATGCACTTTTCTTATTCACAAAAATACTATGGCTATATGTATGATAAAAGTAAAGTTGGTATATATCATCTGAAATGAACACTAACTATATGTTTATTTCTCCCTATTTTTCCTATATATGCATATTTGTTTATTGATTTTTTACACCAGGTTTTACTTATGGTCTTACTTGTCTTTATGGTTTGTAGATAGATATAAATTGTTAGAGTTTTTATAAGGTCTATATAAGCTCTTTGTGATACACATGCTAACACTCAATTTGAAGACATACACTAACTATGTAAATTTGGACTGCTGTTCAATCCAATCGGGTGCATTAGAAAGACGTTATCAATAGCCCTTAAATACCCACGAAAAACATGGTGGGATCATCACATTGACATCCTGAGGAAGCCAATAGGCGAAACGCGTGGACGCAGTGACGTAGCCAAGTAAGCTACACGGTGACATAATCCAAGTGGGCAGAGTTATTGGAAGCCCAGCGGATTTTAATTTCTGCCTTTGTACCCACGATTGAAGAAATATCTTGTGAAGAGCACAGTGCACGTCCACAACAACCGGGAAGCTCGGTGAACATCTATCCGTGGAGGATTAGAGACTTCTGTAGTCGGCTGAAAGCAGCACACAGTGTTCCAGTTGGAACAAAAGGCATTTGTGAGTAGCAGGCTTTTTACCGTATATACTCACTACCATTTTCCTGTAAGAGGCTCTTTTTTTTTTTCCTGTCCATGAAAATTACAAGCTGGTGTGTTGTGCCACAACAGCACGCATATGTTAATCATCGAAATTCTCAATTTGGCACTAAAAAAACTGCACTTTTTGTTTTTTGTTAACATTTTGGTACAAGCTAGACACATTTTGTATTCATATAGTGAAACGAGGACACAATAAACCTATGTCAGTACACAACGATAAAACAACAGGCTAAACTCTAAGTGCTCTAACTGAAAGCATGGGAGTGAATAGCCAAGGTGAGCATCTAAGATCTTTATGCACGTTAAGGTGTAAGATATAGATGCCTGCTTAACCAACAGTGACAATGTAGGTATGCGCTAAGTTCACTCAGGGAATCACTGGGTCACATTTGTCTACAGTAGCACAAAGCTTCATCAAGGACTGGTGCACAAAGAATGCAAGGGGAGTAGGAATATGAGGTATCGGCAAAGCACAAGGTATTCTCCACATCGCGCCCGCTGAAAACATGCTCTCAGTTCGCAGTGTAGGGCCTGTCTGCCGTGAGGCACAGTGTTGGGTGCTTTATCCCAGTGCAGGAATGTCCTGAAGTTTTGCATTAGGGGCCTCTTCAATGGTGCCTCTGTGCTGGGATTCAGCTCCGTGGGTTGGACCCCTGCATAGCGACCCGGTTCTCCTCCTCCTCTTCTTCCGTCACCGGCTGAATGCGCATGTGCGGCAAGAGCCGCGCGCGCATTCAGCTAGTCCATAGGAAAGCATTCTCAATGCTTTCCTATGGACGCTGGCGTCCGCGGAAGTCCTCTAGCGGCTGTCAATGAGACAGCCACTAGAGGCTGGATTAACCCTAATATAAACATAGCAGTTTCTCTGAAACTGCTATGTTTATAAAAAAAAGGGTTAAACCTAGCTGAACCTGGCACCCAGACCACTTCATTAAGCTGAAGTGGTCTGGGTGCCTATAGTGGTCCTTTAAGTAAAGCTATTTTGGTGACTATATTGTCACTTTAAGAATTGTGCTTGTTTCACAACTTATCTATTTACAGCAATGCCTTTGGGCATTTTTTTAAACCATATTTTATCAACCTTTCAATTTGAGAGATCATAGCTAGATAAGCGAGACATATTAAAATTAAGCTCTACTGATGCTAACATCTCTTAATCCATTTATTTATGTCCCCTTTAATGCCTGTGTATTTAGTAGTGCTAATTATCAGGCTAGGAGAATATTTATAATAGTAAAAAAAAAAAAGGCCCATAAGTCGTTCCAAAAAACTCTTATGTAGACAGGAAAGCTCCAGCTAAACTTGATGTTGTGTAACTTTAAAAAATAACTTCTGTTGAGAAATCCTGAACAACTAAAATATTGCTGTAATCAGCTTCTAGTTTATTTGCAGCTCTTTGAATACTTCATCTTTGAATTGGTATGAGATGAAATTAACGTCCCTTGATAATTTTTCAGAGATGCCTTTTGGTTTAGAAAGTCTATGCCATCGGTTCATAATCGGATATTGTGCTGGGGAATATACTTCCAATTTGTTAAACAGATCTTCTAAAAATTCTTGTAGCGTTTCTTAAGTCACTTCCTCGGAGATGTTAAGAAATCTTTAATTGTGCCTTCTTGAATGATCTTCCAAGTCGTCTAATTTTAATTCAATGTCCATGAGCTTTTGTGCAAAAGCTAGTTGTGCCATTTTTAAAACACTATAATTATCATCCATAACACCAAACTTCTCTTGAAGAATATTTAATCTATCTGTCAATGCTCCAATCTCATTCTTTTTTTCAACTGTGCTTGATTTTTTTTCAGCCTTTAGTGTACCCAGCATAGAATACCCCAAAAATGTTCAATTAAACTGGTGAAACGTGTATTTTCAGAGTCAAATTGTGGGTTGTGGCTGATATTCGGAACTTTATGCTACTACAGAGTTCTCTCATTGTTCTTATAGAGCAGTTGGAAAGAAAAAGACAGATAAACTCTAATGATAAAAAATTTCTTTTAGACAAATGTTTTTAGTCATAAAAAACGCAGAGATGGGTGAATATATATAAAACACACCCGAAACTAACCTCTCCCTTAACCAGGATATCAGATAGTGACAACAATAATAAAACAAAATGACACAAAGGAAGAAGGCAATATATATTTGGAGAGTTTGTGATACATACATTCAGTGGTGTATTCTGGTTTTGTGCTTCCTTAGGCAGGACAAAACTCAGGCGCCCTCCCTCCCCCCCGTGCGCAACCCCCACCCATCCCTCTAAATACACACACACATTCACTGACAGATACGCATACACTAGCTAACAGAAACACACACTCACTGACACACTCACTAGCTGACACACACTAGCAGACACACACACACTCACAGGCAAACATACATACACAGACACACACACACACAAAAAACACACTCACTAGCAGACAAACACTCTCTCTGAAGCACACAAGCACTAACAGACACACACACTCACAGGCAAGCACACACTCACTAACAGACACTCACTAACAGACACACACTCACTAGCAGACACACACACACACTCACTGACACACACACTCACAGGCAAACACACTCACACTAACAGTCAGACACACACACACACACTCACTAACAGACACACTCACTAACAGACATACACATTAACAGACACACACACTAACAGACACACTCACACACTAACAGACACACACTCACTAACAGACACACACTCACTCACTAACAGACATACACACACACTCACTCACATTAACACATTTCTTTTTTTTAACCCCCCAGCCTTACCTTTCCCTTACCTTTGGGAGTGCTGGGGAGGAGGGGTTCTCTATCTCCCTGGGGGTCCAGTGGCTGCTGGGCGAGCGGCGTTGGCGGGTGGCTGGCGAGGGAGCACTTCCCCTGAGCACTCTGCTTAGCTCCCTCGCGCGCCTCAGAGTGAGGCTGGGAGCCGGAATATGACGTCATATTCCGTCTCCCAGCCTCACTCTGCGGCGCGCTAGGGAGCGGAGCAGACCGCTCAGAGGAAGAGTTCCCTCGCCAGCCGCCCAGCCCAGCATGTCAGTTAGCCGCAAGGCTAACAAGACATTTGCCCTGGGCATTTGGGGGGCGGCTTTTTTTGCCGCCCCCTGGAAAATGCCGCCCAAGGCAAATGCCTTGTTTGCCTCGTGGCTAAAACGTCCCTGCATACATTGTATTTATTTATTTATTCTCAGTCTCTCGACTTTCCTTGCTCTCCCCTCTTTCTTTTTGGTTGTTTTCTCTCCTGTTTTCAACCATAAGTATTGGAAGTTATCAGAAGCATGCTCAAAAAATGGCGTTTGGCATTAAACCTCCAAACTCATTTTCCCCGGTTACATAATTCACAACAGAAGTGATTCTTCCAGAATCTGCAAGTAGCAGCACAAAGTTTGTATTGGTCTCTGCTTTGCAGGATCGAGCTCCCTGCTGTTGCGGTCATGTTTTCCTCTTTGGTTTCCTGAAATGGCGAGATCTCAACATTCCCCACGAAAGATCTTCTCCGCTCTGATATCGATCCATCCACACCTCTTGACTCACATGCCCCCTCTAGTTGAAGTTCCTAACTTTTGACAACAAGAACATTCAAACATATTGTGCACTTTGTACATCAGATGATCTTTTTCTTTCACGTTGTCTAAGGCTGACCTTGATGGACACATGTCTCTTTTCAGCCTATGTAACTATGTAACATTTTACATGAAGCAATCATTGTAATCTGTTTTTGTACATAAATACTAGATTAATGAATAATGCTATTGGAAAAATGCAAAGTATCTTCCGTAATGTTAGTATATAATGTTTTTATTCACTTTGATATGCTAGTAAAACACTTCAATTCAGCTGTGTTTTCTGCAGTAATTTAATAAATACTTTGTCACCAAAAGATTAAAGACATAGATATTGGTACAGAGATTGGCCCTACATATGTTTGATTAGGGTTATCAGATTTCCTCTGTTTACAAAACTTGCACTACATGTATGCTAATGAACAGAAAGGGTGCAAAAACCCAAGGGTGGCAAGGAGTCCAATGAATTTCGAATCAATCCGCTGACAGGTTTCCATCCATTTCTGGGATTTCTATGGGCACATCTTGAGCATCTTGGCTTACAGAGTAATCTTGTGTAGCTGGTGACTTTTTCTTGCACCATCCATTCATGCAAGGTCTTACTATGGCCACACATATGGCACAAAGTGTCACCCCTATAGTACTGGAGTAAGGCTCAGTCCCTGACAGGTTTTCATCCACTTCTGTGATGTCTATTGGCACGTCTTGGGCATCTTGACATTCATTGTAGTCTTTTGGAGCCAGTGACTTTTTCTTGCACTCTCTATTCATGCAAGGTCTTACTATGGCCAAGCATATGGCACGAAGTGTCATTCCTATAGTACTGGAGTACGGCTCAGTCACTGACATGTTATCATCTACTTCTGGCACGTCTTGGGCATCTTGACATTCAGTGGAGTCTTGTGTAGCTGGTGCCTTATTCTTCCATAATCCATTTTGACAAGGTTTTACAATGCCCAAGAATACAGCACCAATTGCCATCCCTATGGCACTCACGTAGAACGCAGAACCATAGTATTTTGTTTTGTCCACCAGGATACCTAAGTAAAAAAAAGTAGAAACATTACTTTCAGCCATGTATTCTACTACAGGCATTTCTTGTATTTATATTAAACTAAACTTTTCACTCTCTCTGTACTGCCCTTAAAACTCCCCAGTATTTCTGATACTTCATCTTGTTATACAAGGAATAGTACCTAGCCTGATTTCTCAGGTGCCTACATTTCTATCTGTCAAATATTAAAGTGTGTTATATTGCTGGCATTTCTCATGACTTTTTAATCTGTTGTTCATTAATCCTTCACTGTAAGGTGCACATGCCATCAATACTTACATAATATTTGGACCTGCTGACAGTTAGCCAGTTGTTTAAACATACATTTCACAGAATTCTTTGTGTCGGTGTTGGTTCTATCATCTCAAATGATTCTGCTTTTTTGTATAAAAATAAGATATATGTCCAGACTAGGACTAGAGTCAGGTGTAATTACTACGCATTTACACAGCGCCTGATACTTGTGGAGTTCATAAACATTTTCCAGAAGATGCAGGGCTGACTAAGAAAAAGTCACATCTTTCAGATTGCAGGACTTGCAGTTTTGCATAGCTCTTTCTGTTACTCAGAATAGGGTGACTCTGTATTATTATATTGTAGACAATATATGATTCTGTTATCATTGCACCAAGAAAAAGCCCAATGGAGACACTCAGGAGAGTTTTGCAGGTCATTGTGTCATCGTTATTATATATTTTGGAGGAAAATGTTTAAAGCAGCACTGTCATGCCGAACTTACCTTTCTTTAATCGATTCCTCTTCTCTCCCTGTCTCAGGATCTGTTCTTCATTTCTTCCTGTCTGCTCTAGTTTTCTTTAAAATATAAGACAAAGTAGGGATTATTTGTCTTATGGAGGTTTCCTACACCTGACCATCTCTGAAGAACAAAGTGTGCTTCATTTCCGGTGGTCAGAGCAATTTTCCAACAATTCTCACCTTTCCTCCGTGTTCCCGTGAAGCCTTCTTTCACTTTTCCCGATGTCTTGTCATTTAGACAGAACGCCGGCAAAACTACAGAATTGCGTCCTAATAGAATGAGAACAGTTTCTCCATTCGTGTTAGGACGCAATTCGGGACTTTGTTCGGATTGGAATTTCATTCGAATGAATGAAACTCCGATCCTATTCGTGACACAGCCGCAACTTGCAGCCGCTTAGTAGATAACTCCCTAATTCCCACGGTATTAGGGAGCTATCTACCAAAAGGCTGAAAGACCTAAATTGGTTTTTCAGCCAAATTTACTAATACTAACTAAAGGTTACTTAGTGTTAGTAAATTCTGCCCCTACTCGCTATACCGCGAGTAGGGGCATGTCTATTAAATAGTGACCAGCCTATGGGTGCTCAATGTTAAAAAAACAAAACAGTATCCCCCCTCCCAAGACCCACCCGTGCCGCCCGAGTGGGGGCTATTAAACTGAAGGGGGGACCTATTGTGTTCCCCCGGCCCCCACCCCTGAGTGGCGGGTGGGGGCCCTAAATTAAAATGTTACTCCCCCCCCCCAAAGTGACTAGGGGTCCTCACCTGCCGCTCAGGGTTGGGGGCCCTAAATAACAATGAGGGGGGCCTATTGTCCAAAACAAAAATTAATAAACCCCTACCTAACCCCCTCACCCTAAAAATAGTGAGGGGGGGGGGGGAAGGACTAAGTACCTGTAAAGAAAATTAAACTTACCATTTGATGTCTTCTTTTTTCTAAAATTTTAATTTTAGGCCAAATAAAAATCCATAATACCCGTTGAACTTGAAGGTAAGTCTCTACATTTACCCGTCACAGCACTCGGATTGGCTTACCTGTCAGTCTCTTTATTTACCTGTCAGAGCACTCTGATAAGTTGGATTAAATTGCAGGGCGTGGGAAGGCTTTAAAAGCCTTTCCCCGCTCTGAGGAACTCAGTCTGCGCCGTGCCCTCCATGGGTGAAGATTAATTTATTTTTTTTAGAGTCAGGCTTTTTCTTTTTCGTCTGATTTTTTTTTCCCGCTCTGATTTTTTATTTTATTTTTTACAAGTTCGACGGGTATTATGGATTTTTATTCGGCCTTTTTTGGGGCTGAAAAATTAAGATTTTAGAAAAAAGAAGACATCAAATGGTAAGTTTTATTTTTTTTACAGGTACTTCGTCCTTCCCCCTCACTATTTTTAAGGTGAGAGGGGTAGGTAGGGATTTATTCATTTTTGTTTTGGGTGGGGCGGGTGACTAGGGGCTAGTCTCCGCTAGTCACCTTGGGGGGAAGGGGGGTTTAACATTTTAATTTAGGGCCCCCACCTGTCGCTCAGGGGTGGGGTCCAGGGGGGAGGACAATAGGTCCCCCCCTCATTGTTATTTAGGGCCCCCACCAACCCCTCAGAGGTAGGGGCCGGGGGGGAGGACAATAGGTCCTCCCCCACATTGTTATTTAGGGCCCCCACCCGCCGCTCAGGGGTGGGGGGCGGGGGGACACGCTAGGTCCCACCTTCAGTCAGAGATGGTCAGGCGTAGGAAACCTCCATAAAACAAATAGTCCCTACTTTGTCTTATGTTTTAAAGAAAACTAGAGCAGACAGGAAGAAATGTAGAACAGATCCTGACAGAGGGAGAGAAGAGGAATCGATTAAAGAAAGTTAAGTTCGGCATTACAGTGCCGCTTTAAGGCTGCTTGTCTTGCTTTTTATAAACATTAGACACAGGGCTGGCTCTTAGCGGGTGCAGGAGGTGCACTGCAACTGGTCCCTCTCTTCCTTTGTCCCTGCTTTACCCAGACTGGCTAACATTGGCCGTCGGCAGAAGCCCACAGGAGACATCAAAGGATCTCCAGTGCTAGCCAATGAACAGCACTTTATTGTCATGGGCCAGTGGGGAGATCAAGGATATATGATAACAAAAAATAAATTACCTACCTGTTAATGGGGGTCCCGACAGTGATATGAAACTGTGAATAAACACAAAGACTCCAACTGCTGATTCCATCTTCTCGATGCCAACAATGTCCTTTTCCCCTATTAGTGGGATGTAAGTCGCTGTAACTGCCCCCATCATGTAGCTGTAAAAGAAGCTACAGGCCATCAGTCCCAGAAATGTATGAGCAGAAGGGATGGCAACAAGAGCTAGGCACAGCAGGATGACAAATATCAGTTCAATATAAATCTTATTAATTGGCTCCTTGTGCATGATAAAGCCTGCACTAATTTTTCCGAGGAGCTCAGCGATGGCCATGAGGATAAGAATGTGTGTTGAAAGTTCTTCAGCAATGCCCAGACTTACACTGAAAGAAATAATGAATAGGGGAGGTATACAAGTGCCAAAGACAGAAAATAATCCAAATAGTGTGTAAAATATAAAGCTGGTATTTTTCAATACAGAAAAATCAAGTAAAAGCTTGTCCTTCTTTTCAAGCTCTACTGGCTCAATCATCTTCTCCTCCATGGACATGTCAATCACAACATCTGCTTTTGTATTGGTTGCAGCATTTGTGCATGATTTAGATTTAGATATATTGATTCCGGAATCTGTAGGGTCTATAGAAGTGAGCTTGTCCTTATTATCAAGCCTACAGGCAGAGTGCTTCTCAACTTCTGAAGGTTGTTTGTTATTTTCTTCCGGTTCAATAATGATTGGCTGTAGCAAGAATCCACAAACCACGATGATAAGTTGCAGAGCTCCGATGACAAACAGGCAAACTCTCCAGCCCTTGTAATGCATAAGTGCAGTAAATTCTGAGAAGAAAAAGAAAAACATTAAAACAGTATGTAAGTGGGAAAAATTTAAATCTCACAATATGTTTTTATATTGTCGAAACTCTTGAAACATCCTACATATTAGCAGGGCTGGCCTTAGGCCTTTACGCGCCCTGTGCGAAAAACCTTCACAGCGCCCTCCCCCCCTTCCCGTCATTCATGTATAGTGTGCGTTTATAGAAGTGTAGTGATTGTATAGGGGAATTATTAAATTAATAATGATTTAAAAACAGACAGTTCTCCACCTCTCTTTCCCAAGAGCTTCAACAGCCGGCACTTGCCATCAGCCCTCGTGCGGTCTGTCGTCTTCCCAACTCAACCCTCTTGTGCGCTACGCCAAGCCGGCATCGCGCCCCCCTGCAGACAGCGCAGCCTCAACTCCCAACTGTAAACCCACGTTGATTATATCCAAACCAGTGGGAGACAAATGGACCCCGTCCCTCCTCATGAAATTGGAATTCTCCTCTTCTAAATCCACGTGCCGAATGACCAACCTTCCCAGCAATGGTCATATTAACTTTGCAACGGCAACATTCTAAGGGCCTACCCATACCCGAAACCCACCAAGCTGGTCGAGGAATTATTTCCGACCATATGATTGTCAGCTCCTGAAAGAGTGCGAAACAATGCGCCATGTCCTGCTTCATTTCGTGAATCAAATCAGTTGACCGCCTACGGCCAATGTCATTCCAACCTGCATGGAGCACTAATGTAACCGGCCCCGACACGTAGCGACTAAGCTGAACGCACTCTGAATACATCTGTTCCCAAGACAAACCCCTCGAATGAATCTGCACTAACTCACATGGAAACCCCAGATTGCGCCCCATTGGGCCTAGCTGCCCAATATACATAGGAATGGCCCAGGTTCCAGACGTATCGGGGAGATACGACAAACCGGAAACCGACAACAACAAGGACAACATGGAGAATAACAGGGAGTCGGTTACAACATATGAGGCCTAACATACAGCTGAAAGCGACCTGACTGCCACCTGCCCAAGTGCTTAAGCGCATCCGACTGAAAACCCAACACACTGGCCTGGGTCGCTGCCCCAGTGCAAAAAGAGGAAGTAGTATAAGAGGAGAGATCCAACCTCACACCGCTCACACAGGACTACAGAACCCGAGAAAATTGGAAACGACTCAATGAAGTCCCCTCCCGATGAAGAAGGGACCCCCCATCACCCTCCCGCGCTGCGAGAAACTCCCGGACAATCGCTACTGGACAAAAATGACCGCCCGTCACACTTATGCGAACTTGCCTGAGGAGCCCCCAATTCCCCAACCAGAAGGGCACCAAAAAAACATAACAAAAAAGCCACCTGGAACAGCAGAACCTCATACCCTGAAAAACAGACCTGTGGCAGAAAGTCTAACAACCGACACAGCACCTCGAAGAAGATGGGCTGACGCGAATCCGGGCAATGGCTTTTCTTCCAACCCTTCAAGGCTTGTGCAACACAAAACGTCTTCGTAGCATCCTGCCAACGAAACCACCGAAACAAAAAGGAAAGGGCGGCCAAGTGCCGATTTTTCTATTTTTCTCTCTTCTGACTGAATCAGGTAAATGAGGCATGGAGGGGCAGCCTACAGATCAGGTAAGTGAGGCATGGGGGGGGCATCCTATAGATCAGGTAAGTGAGGCATGGGGGGGCAGCCTATAGATCAGGTAAGTGAGGCAGGATCTGAGGCATGGGGCAGCCTATAGATCAGGTAAGTGAGAGATGGGGGCAGCCTACAGATCAGGTAAGTGAGTCATGGAGGGGGGCAAGCAACAGATCAGGTAAGTAAGAGATGGGGGCAGAAAAAAGATCAGGTAAGTGAGAGATGGGGGGGCAGCCTATAGATCAGTTAAATGAGAGATCGGGGGAGGGCAGCCTATAGATCAGGTAAGTGAGGATAGTGGGGTGGAAGGTAAAGCAGCACAAAGGTAAAGCAGAAGGAGCAGAAAGGGTCAGCAAGGAGCTGGAAAGGGTCAGCAATAAGCTGGAAGGGGCAGAAGAAGCACAAACGTAAAGTAGGAGAAGGAGCATAAATTAGCAGGAAGGGTCTGCAAGGGGCAGCAAGAAGCAGAAAGGGTCTGCAAGGAGCAGGAAGGGTCTGCAAGGGGAAGCAATGAGCAGGAAGGGTCTGCAAGGAGAAGGAAGGGTCTGCAACGAGTAGAAAGGGACAGAACAAGCACAAAGGTAAAGGAGCAGAAAGAATCAGAAGGAGCACAAAGGTAAAGTAGTCGAATGAGCAGAAAAGGGTAGCAAGGAGCAGAAAGGGTCTGCAAGGAGCAGAAAGGGATCAGAAAGAGAAAGGAGCAGAAGGGCGCAAAGTAAGTAGAAAGTAGCAGAAAGGTAAAGGAGCAAAAGAAGCCAAGGAGGAGAGAAGACAGTGTCAGAAGAAAAAGAAGACTGTGTCAAATGAAGGCGAAGAAAAGGAGATTGGAGCAGGAAGGACAAGTGAAATTAACCCTCCACTTTATTTTGGACACCACATCATAAGGCTTTGGTACCTCGGTCTGGCAGGGAAACTTTGGACTTTCTCATCTCCCCAGGTAAAAAAAAAATATCAGTGTTAATGTGTTCACTTTTATTTACTGAGTGTCAGGAAGCACAGAGTGCCGCTGTGTAGGGGTGTTGCTGATTGGCTAGAGCGGTCAGCTGGCACTCTAATCCAAACAGTAGCTCCCCATTCATAAAAAAGTAAAACATTTTTATGAACCGGGAACTAGCGATTGGCTTAGAGCGTCAGCTGACCACTCTAGTCAATCAGCATCACCCATGCCTGACGTCAATCTGCACTTCCTGACACCAGGGCCAGATTAAAAGCCCAGTGGACCTGATGCTGACAATTATGATGGGCCTAATTACAAAATCTTATTGACCAAAAACACTAAAACAGTCCTACCTCCTAAGCGGCATATATCTAAAGGAGATGGTGCTGGAAGGAAACTCATTGGATGCAGTTATGAGAAAACACATACCCTATGGTAATCTCACGCTTTCATCTTTCAAGAAATCCCATACTCCCTAACAGCAGTGTCCAGTAAAGCAGGAAGTCTATGGATGGGGTAAAAGGGTGGGCCACTGACACAAATCACATAATCAGAACTGCCGAAAGGGGCGAACATACACAAAAAGGGGGCATGTCTGTATCCCTATGTCTCCCAGTCCCATAGTGTCTGTGTCCCCATGTCTCCCAGTGTTCCCATGTCACTCGGACACTAGGGGACATTGAGAGACATTGGGACACTGGGAGACATGGGGACACTGAGATACTAGGAATCACTGGGAGACTTGGGGACACTAGGAGACATGGGGACACTGGGTGACTTTGAGACATGAGGGGGCACTGGGAGATATGGAGCAGTGAGACACTGTGATGCATAGGGGACACTGTGATATATAGGTGACACTGGAGACTTGGTTTTGACCTGGGTACAGGTCAAAACGTTGCGGTGTCCAATAAACCTGCTTAACCTCTTAAGGACCAAACTTCTGGAAAAAAAGGGAAGCACGACATGTCACACATGTCATGTGTCCTTAAGGGGGTTAAATCTATCACAGTGAGTGGCTGAGATTTTTATATTTTATACTAGGGGACGCTGAGACACTTGGGGGCACTGTGAGACATGGGGACACTGGGAGACTAGAGGATTCTGAGACACTAAGGACACTGAGAGACACCAGGGACACTGGGAGACATGGGGCACTGATACACTCTGATACATAAGGGACACTGTGATACATAGGGGACAATGGAGACTTGATAAAGACCTAGGTACATGTTGAAACATTGTGGTGTCCAATAAACCTGCTTAAATCTATCACAGTGAGTGCTTGAGATTTTTTCTTTTATACTAGGGGACACTGAGACACTGGGAGACATTGGGACAAAGAGACACTGGGAGACTAGGGGGCTTTGGGAGACTAGGAAACACTCAGACACTATGGACACTGGCATACTACGGACACTGAGAGATACCAGGGACACATGGGGATACTGAGACACTAGGGACACTGGCTGGGAGACATGGGGACACTGGGAGGGCCCCATGTCTCCCAGGTCTCAAAGTTGCCCAGTGTCCCCATATCTCTCTGTGTCCCCCAGTGTCTCCATGTCTCTCAGTGCCCCCTAATGTCTCACCGTCCCCATGTCTCGCAGGATGGAGCTGCTGTCTGGACTCTGTGCAGAGCTGCTCCCCCGCGGATCAGTGAGCACTGTAGTGAGAGGCAGGGAGGTAGATGCTGTAACTCCTTATCCCTGCCTCTCTCCACACAAACAGCGACCCCTACTGGCCGGCGCTGGTATTGTAGAATAATCTCTGTTTATACTCAGACAGACATTTGTATTGCCGGTATTACTGCAATACCGGCATCGGCTAGGCAGCCTCAAATACCTGAGAAATACTTCTGAGAAATACCTGGCAACCATAAGAAATACATGAGAAATACATGGCAACCCTAAGAGTAGTGTGTAAAAAAACCAAAAAAAAAACATTTTTTTTTTTTAAATCAATGGGCCTATTCCATGGGCCTGGGCCTGGAGCTGCAGCTCCATCAGCCCCTATGTTAATCCGTCCCTGCCTGACACTCTGTTTCAGAAGCCGAATACCACTGAGCGACCTGGAGATCTGAAGCGGGAGGAAGCCTTTGGGGTTAAACCATTTGAGAGCGGTTTAACCCCTTAAAGGAAAGACAGCACCCAGGATCTTCCTGGCATCATAGCATTTTCATTTAAATGAAATTGTTATGGTGACCAGAATGTTCCTTTAATTTGCTTAAAGGAACACTATAGCGTCAGGAATAGAAACATGTATTCCTGACACCATAGTTGTGAAAACGCTATTCACCCTGGCTTTATGTGATAATGACTATGCCCCTTCCGTTTCATGACACTGTCAAAAAGAGACCAAGCATGGATGTCATTACAATTATACCCCCAGAGAACAGAAGGGCCAGGAAAGTGTATCGTGCATGTGTTTGGAGCCTGCTTGTGGGATTGCGTGTGTGTAGAGTGAGCTGATTGTGGTGTGGTATTGCGTAAATAGGTCAATTTTATTCATGTTTGTGGTGTAATATGTGTGTTTAGGGGCTGTAGATAGTGTGTGTATAGGGGGCATAGTGTGTATAAGGGATGTAGCGAGTGTGTGCATACAGGCTGTAGTGTGTGTGTAGAGGATTCAGAGTGTATATGGGATCTAGGGTGTGTATGTGTGTCTGTGTGTGTGTAGATTAGACGATCCAGAGTTAAGTAAGGGATCTAGTGTGTATCTGGAGCGCAATGTGTGTAGTGGTGCAGTGAGAGGGGCGCTGTTGGGTGTTCTAGGTGTAGGATGCAGCATGTGTGTGTGAGTGGTGCAGTGTGTGAGTAAGAGGGGTGCTGTGTGTGAGGGTGTTCTTATCTGCCGTCACATTCTATGTTTCTAATTTTCTTTGTCTGTTAACTCACTGAGGGTTATTTTATATTTTATATGTGTGTGTGCTGTGTGAGGGTGCTGTTAGTGTGTGTGTGTGTCTGAGTGTACTGTGTGTGTGTGTATATGTTTGAGGGATTGTGTCTGTGTAGAGGGTGGGACAGACTTAAATATATATATATATATATATATATTTTTTAACATTAAATAAAAAACAACACTTTATACTCCCCCCCCTCCCATCTTACCTTTAGCCTGGAAGGGGGGACCGTGCTGCCATTCTTGGTGGTGAGAGTGGTGAGAGTGAACTCTAGCCTCCGAGGGAGGGGGACCCTGAGAGTGGGGGCACCCTTAGGGCACTATAGTGTCAGGAAAATGGGTTTGTTTTCCTGACACTATAGTGATCCTTTAAGTCAGCAATGTCTTCAGTTCAGCTACTCTGGCATCAAATGTTTATTCACTAAACTATGAACTGTCAGGAACTCATCAGGGAATTGCACATGAGTTGGAAAAATTGTTGATTTTTTTTTCTTTTTTAGTTGTTTTTACCTAAATATAGTAATTTCCTGGTCAATTCCTGTCAATACACTATTAAATGAATAGCCACTGCCCCATCCCCTGCACCCACACCTGGTATCGTGTGGGAGACGTTTGAATGGTCCAGCTGGTTATTTTTACACCATCCTACCTCCCACTCATGCATCAGGTGTGGAGTAATAATATAGTTGATAGGCAGTGGACAAGGCATTTGTACAGCTACACTATCCCCTTACCCATGGGCATCAAGTGGGGGCTCGCAAATAAAGTAAAAATACAAGGAGGAACATGCCATTGCCCCCTCATCCCCTTCCATTCCCGCTCGGTGCATGAGATATTGACAGTTGAGGAGCTGTAGCTGACTGCTCAACATTTAGCGGCTGTGCCCTCACCAGTCAGATGGCAGGATAAAAATTATCTGGGTGTCATATTGCCCTCCATAGTTATTTATTTAGTTTTTTACCTCAAACAGAGGGTGACCATGTTTGAGCCTACAATGGCCTTTTTCAAGTGATAAATTCAAGTGTGCAATTTGCATAGTGCAATCATGACATAATGCATGAACAATAATAAAATCATTCAATTACAAAAGGCATTATCAAAGAAGAAAACCTACGACGCCTGCAGTCACATGACAGCTAACATTGTCCCTCCCTATGTTCGCATAGGGAGTGATGGGGTTACCAGTCATGTGACTGCAGGCATTGTAGGTCTCACTTTTGATGAGGTAACGACAGCTGAGCAGTAGATGGCTGCAGGCAGGCAGGCAGGCAGGCAGGAAATTCCACAGCAGGAACAGTAGATGGCTGCAGGCAGGAAATTCCACAGCAGGAACATATAAGTGACAGATAAGATAAAAATCATATAGTCTGTTTGTTTTTTCCTGTGGTGGCTGAATGCTGGCCAGTCTCCAGATACATAAACATTGCACTGTCTTGGAGTTTTTAATGCTGACTACTAGAGCTGCAGAGCTGCTAGGAAACAAATAGTCCAGATTTTTTAGCATCTGGATCCACATTTCTGCCATTTTGTTGCACCCAGACAGGTTAAATAGGGTAGACTTTCAAATCGACTTGTAGGTTGTATTGCAAAACTCAGACATTGATAAATCATGTAAACAATGTCTGAATTTTACATTCCCCCAGCAGTTTGGTAATCTGATCTGGTCCATGTGCATCTGAATTTTACAATTGTCCTGTTGGTTATCAATACTTTAGGGAGGGCAAACACTAGTTAATTATAGATCTTACCTGGAACAAACAGAATGACTGCAAAACATTCCCCTGTGGTTGCAATGGAAATAACCAGGGACCGGCGCCTGTCAAAGTACTTTAACAAAATGGTGAGGCTTGGGAAGAAGCTAAGGCTGTAGCCAAGTCCTAAATGAAAAAAATAAATATGTTATCGAGAACTAACATTGAAACAGTACTGCTACCAACTAGCTGCACTTAGATTCTTGGTAGTAAGCTTAATTGTTACGGCAAACTAATTGTCCATTAATCTTTTATTTTTATATAATTATTATTGACCAGATCTATAATTATTACTGACTACAATACTTACATTTAGAATAATGAGACATTAGTTAGTAAGTATAGTAGTGTTGGAGGTTTCTACCTAGGAACTTTTCATACATTTGTCTCTTTCGGGGTTATTCGTTTAGCTCTAAATTTTTCACAAATAAAATCCAAATGGCAAACCGAGGCAAAAATAGACCTGGAAATATTCTCAGACTCTGCTGTAGTGACAGCCTCAGTTTTTCTATTTTTAATTTGTGAATTTTGTATAAATTATAATACATTTCCTCATATATGTCTATCATATATGTTTATAAGACCTTTTTATTATTTTTATTCCTGGCTGGGGCTGTTTATTTTTATTTTTTTGTCATCCAATCTCAAGGGGTCCTTGCAACTATTAAGTCTGAATGGCCCATACTGAATGGGAAAAATCAATCTGGTGCTATACAGGGTCATTTGGAATGAAAAATAATTAATAATTAATGTGATGACTGGCTAGCAATGGTTAACTGCTGTGCCAGTGAAGGTTTTTTTAATGTTTTTTTTTTTTTTTTACTATCTGCCCACTGATTGCTAGTGCTGCCATCAGGCAAATACTAGTACTTCAAATGATCATTTACTTGGAAAAAGCAATTATGGTCATGGAAGAGAAGGGGGATCCAGGATGTGGTAAACAACAGGCAAATTGAGTGAACTTCAAATGAAAAAAAAGAGAGGGAAAAGGTGGGTGGGTAGAGGGTTGAAGTAGAAGTGGGCTGAAAGCAGAAATCCTTCCCCGCCACTCTTACTGTCCCGTTATCCCTTTGGGTGTGAGTTAAATGAAGACCACCAAAGAATAAAGAGGCAGGGGTAGAAGTGGCAGCTGGAGAGAACCATATTGCTGTGAATACTAGACTAGACTATACTAAAATATGTTTCAGTTGATGTGACTGAATCAAATTTGTTTTACTCTAAGCCTGAATTAATCAATCCATCCAGGATTTATCTATGAAGTTTTATTAATTTAACATGTTTACTAAATACCTATGTGTGGTTCAGGCAGTTAAAACATAAGTACTAGATAAGTATCAGGATAACCCTAGGTTGGTCTTTCTCAGACTAAAATCACATGTGTGAAAGGAACCCTATAGGGTCAGAAACACAAATGTGGATTCATGACCCTATAGTGCTAGAAAACACACAGATCCCCCCCCCCGCACACACTGTCCCCCATACACACATTGCCCCAATACACACACTGCCACCCATAAACACACATAGCACCCAATACAAACATTGCCCCCTTATACACACAACCCCCCCTTACACACATAGCCCCTAACACACACACTGCACCACTCACACACACATCACCGCTCACACAAAAACACACTGCGCCACTCACACACAAACACACTGCTCCCAATACACACACTGCACCCTTTACACACAAACACAATGCTTCCAATATAGAAATTGCTACCCCATACATACACTGCACCCCTCTCACACACGCACTACCCCTCCATACACATACTGCGACACTCACACACACTGCACCCCTCACACACATACACACTACAGCCCCTATCCCGGCAGACCCTGGGTAAGTTATCTAACTTTTTTTTTTAAACGGTTTGACTACTTACTCTGGGAGGGCGCCACAGCAATTCCTGGCACCAAAACCACTATAGAGTTTCTTAAAATTATCTGCCAGTGCCCCTCCCGGGATTAGCTTCTGGATCTGCCACTGATGCCTGGTACAATTTTGTATGATTTGGGACTGGGGCTCTTACCTGACATAACACCAATTGTGATGTACATTATGTAAATATTAGTTGCAAATGCAGCTGCGATCATGCCAACACTAGAAAGAAATCCTCCAGCCATGACAACAAAGCGATGTCCAAATTTATTAGTCAGGATAGTGGTTATAGGAGCTAAAATTAAATAGATGACGCTTTAGTACCTGTAATTAAAAGTGTGTTCCATAACAAATCTAAATACATTTAGGGGGTTATTCACTCAACTGGGTTAATGAAAATGTTAATAAAAATTATAGACTTTTTTTTTTTATCTTGCAATTCCTTTGACAATTTTCCACCATTCCTAAAATATAATTTTCCTGCACAATATTTATATGTTGGTTATTACCTTATCATTGAATTGTGGCTTGGCTAACCTTTCTAAATCATTCCTAAATTTACAATAGTAAGTAATGTTGTCTTTCCTCATCTGTCTTGAAATTGTCACAATTCATTGGCTTTCTCACTTTCCATACTACCATTGACTAGAACAGCATTTCCTAGGTCCAGTCCACATTAAAATCATTCTTGGCAGTGGTGACCAAGATCCAAGATAAATTCACAGAACTAACAGGCACTCAGGACACAATTCAGAAAAAACAACGTTATTAAAGGGAAAATCGAAGCATTAAAATGTAAAGGGACACTCCAGACCCCTAAAATATTTTCACTTGCTGAAGTGCTTTATGTGGGTCCTCTTTTTTTTCATTTTACAAAAAGTGCAGATTTCAATAGAGAGTGACACTTTTAGAATTTACCTTGTTACACCCCTATAGCTGTCAATCAGACAACATGTCTTTTTATTTCCTGCTTGTTTAGCTCAGTGGAGCTAAACTCAAGAGGCAGGCAATAGCTCAGAGAACCTGCCTTTGGACAGGCACAGAAAATCTAGGTGGGTTTAGAAGGGGTGGGCTTGCAAAAGCTGCAGTCAATACATCTAAAGCTCTTCCCAGCTGTGTTTAGATAAGCCCCCAACAAAATAGTTATATGCATAGTTAAATACATGCATGTTTTCGCCAGTGCAAGGAGGTATACAGGGCCAGTGCAAGGATTTTTGCCGCCCTAGGCAAAAAATAATTTGCCACCCCACCCCATATGTCCTGCCCAATATCTGACATCACAATACCCCGCCCATATGCTCTGCCATATGGGCCAACGCCAGTTCTGCACAAAGTGTCTTTTATCTGAAAAGGCAGTGTGTTTACATTAAAAAGCCTGCAGGCACAGGCTATACACACCAGAACCACTACATTAAGCTGTAGTGCTTCTGGTGACTATAGTGGCCCTTTAATGTGAGGTAAATTAGAGATTAGTGCCACTAATAATATATTGGATTGCCTACTTACCACCAGATGAGGACAAGAGGATGATGATGGGCTCAGGCTGCAGTCTGGCTCCACAGATCTGGTGTTGAAGAGGCTCTCTGGAAACTGTTTGTAGCAGTGCTCACAACAATTAACGAACAGGAAGCAGCTTCATATTTTGGGGCCCCTTACACACAGTTACCAGGAGCGCCGGCCCCCCTCATGCTGCAGCCGCCCGAGCGCTCTGTAGAGAGCCTCAGGCGGCTGCAGCTTTGCCCGGACTGGTGCGTCCATGAGGGCGCACCGCCCGGGCGCAGCATGAGGAGAGGGGCAGACAAGAAGGAAGTGCTCAGCGCTCCTTCCTGTCACTCCCTCACTGTAGCGTGGCCGAGCCCTGTATAGTCCGCGGGTACAGGGAGCATCTGTCTCCTGTACCCGGCCGGACTAACACTGAGTGTGCACTTCCTTTTAGTCCGGCCGGGTACAGGAAAGAAAAGCTCCCTGTACCCGCGGACCATACAGGGCTCGGCCACGCTACAACAGAGGTAGGGGAGGGGGAAGATATAAATTGACGGGTGGGGGGAGAAAGCAATTGACAGGGAGGGGGAATGAGAGTGACAACGGGGGGGAGAAGAGAGGGACAGGGGAGGGCGAGGGGGGAGAAGAGAGTGACAAGAGAGGGGGGAGAGATTGACATCCATCACACACACACACACAATCACACACAATGCACCCCTTACAAAGAAAGACAAAGCACCCCTTTCACACAGAAAAACACACAATGCATTACAGACACACACAGACACGCACACACAAGTAATGCAACCCTTACACACAATGCATCCCTTACACACACAGAAACACACAATGCATTCCTTACACACACTCAATGCACCCCTTACAGACGCACACACTGCATCCCGTACATACACAGAAACACACCTTGCAGCCCTTTCACATACAGATTCACACAATGCATTCCTTACACACATATCAGGACATCCCCTACACACTCCACCCCCTGTGAACAAACTCATTGGTGGAACATGAAGGTGGACCCTGGGACCCAGACCTTGAGCTGTGCAAAGGGCCCCCAAAAAATGGAGCTGCTTCCTGTTCTCCCAGAACATTGATTTTTGTGACCACAGTTACAAACAGCCTCCAGAGAGCCTGTTCTACACCAGACCAGTGGAGCCAGACTGCAGCCAGAGCCCATTACCATCCTCATCTGGTTGTAAGTAGGCAATCTAGTATATTATTCGTGGCACTAATCTCTAATTTACCTCACATTAAAGAAACACTATAGTCCCCAGAACTACTGCAGCTTAATGTAGTGGTTCTGGTGTCTATAGCCTGTCCCTGCAGGCCTTTTAATGTAAACACGGCGGCACTGCAGAACTGGCGTTAGTTAACATGGCAGATCATATGGGTGGGGCATTGTGATGTCACATGGGGAGGGGGGGGGCAAACTTTACTTTTGCCTAGGGCGGCAAAAATCCTTGCACCGGCCCTGCTTATACAACTCAAAGCCTGGGCCCACAGGGCCTAACCGTGAGTATGCCTACAAGGTCCACCCATGAATCCACCTACATGCCCACCCATGAGTTCTCTCACAGGGAGTGGAGTGTATGTGTGTAGGGGATGTGTTATGTGTTATTGTAGAGGATGTAATGTGTGTGTATTCTTATGGAATGTAGTGTATAGGGATACCAATTTGTGTAAGGGATGTAGTGTGTGTATAGGGGATGCAGTGTGTGTTTGTGGGTAAGGAATGCATTGTATGTTTCTGGGTGTGTGTGTGTGTGTAATTGATTCAAGGTATGTTTCTGTGTATGTAATTTAATGCAGTGGGTGTCTGTAAGGGGTGCAGTGGGTGTCTGTAAGAGATACATTTTGTTTCTGTGTGTGTAAGAGAATCAGTGTGTGTGTGCACGTAAGGGATGCATTGTGTGTTTCGGTGTGTCTGTGTGTGAGTAGGGATGCATTGTATATGTGTGTAGTGTAAAAGAGAGGGTTTGTGGGGTAGGATAGGGACTGAGAGGGGAGCAACTCTTTATTTTTTTTATAGTGCTCTCCCCTCCTCTCTATTAGTGATCTCCCCTTCCCTCCTGTCCCTCAGTGTTCTCCCCTCCGGTCCCTTAGTGCTCTCTCCTCCCCTCCTGTCCCTTAGTGCTCTCCCTTTGCCCCCTGTCCCTCTGCAGTCCCGCCTTGGTGGTCTTCTCACTCCTCCCCGTTAGTGGTCCTCCCTCTCCCCCTTAGTGGTCCTTCCCCTCTTCCCCTTAGTAGTCCTTACCTCTTCCCTCCCTTTAATGGTCATCCTCTCACCCCACCCCTTAGTGGTCCTCCTCCCCCCCTCTCCCAAAACTCTTAGTGGTCCTTCCTCCTCTCCCACCCCCATAGTGGTCCTTTCCCCTTCTCCCAACACCCTTAGTGGTCCTTTCCCCTCCTCCCCCCCTTTAGTGGTCCTTCCCTCATCCCCTTTGGTGGTCCTTCCCCTCCCTTAGTGGTCCTTCCCCCTCCTCCCCCCCATGGTCCTTTCTCCCTCCCCCACCCCTTAGTGGTCTTTTCCCCTTCCTCCCCCACCCCCTTAGTGGTCCTTTCCCCCTCTTCCCCTCCTCAGTGCCTCCTACCTATGTAGCACGGCAGGGCGGCACAACCGCAGTACAGGAACTTCTGTTTCCTGTACTCGGCCGACCTCGGACTGAAGGGAAGGGTTTAAAGAAGTTCCTGTCCCGAGGTCCGCACCGCCCAGCCACGTTACATTAAGTGACCAGCACGAGGGAGTGCTGTGGCTTCCCTCCTGCCAGTCACCTAAATTTAGCGCCCCCCCCGGGCCAGTGTGCCCTAGACGACTGCCTAAGTCCCCTATAGGATGCGCTGGCCCTGGAGGTATATCTACAACATAGTGATTTTGTATTTTGGCAGTGGAGTGTCCCTTTATTGATCTTTGTAGGACTGACTTTCCACGTCCTCACTACTTACATTATGACCCCAAAACGCTCTCCACAAAAATGTATGTGGCGAACGTGACCCACAGACTATGGGCCCTGCAGGGAAACCTGTAAAAGACAGTTTAAAAGTCTTGGTTCGTGTAAATTCCACTCGTGTGCTTGTTAAGCCCAATTGACACCTGGTAACGATTTCCACCTGTGTTCTAATTGTTCGTCTGGGTGGCTGCAGTTTGTATGAACGACCACGAGGTGGCGGCCATCTTGTTCCCGCAAACACAGGCAGCAGTCTTTGGGTGTCAAGCTCATGGAACTAAAATTGGACACTGAAACACCCGAACACCGCTGGACTTCCATCATCGCCTGCGTTTGTTTCTATACAAGCTGGAGGGGCACTGTTCGGTGGATTCGTTCGCATGGATGAGGCGAACAAGCTACACATTGTAATCATGGTTTCGGTATATTATTCGTTTTTATGTTACCGAAGTTGACTGACCGCTAGCACTGATTTCATGAAACTATTTTGGGCTTAAGCCACATGTGCGGTCGGTCAAAAACGGGACTTCCATAAAAAACCTGAATCCCTCCTCCACTACCCCCCCCAGCTTAAAAATTTAAAACACGCCCACAATTTTTTTTAAATGTAGTTAGCACCGAGCAGTGTTTGTATTTTTTTTTTTTTTTATGTATTTAGCACCAAGCAGCGTTTGTGTGTTTGAATGTAAGCATATTTTTGTATGGAGTATGTGTGAGTGAATGTACGGGTGTGTTTGCACGTATTGGCATTTGAATGCAGGCGTGCATTTTTCTGTTGTGTGGTTTATGAATATGGTGGTGTGTTTTTATGTAGTGTTGACATTTGGATGCAGGGTTGTATTTGTGTGTAGTGTAGGTGAAATGCTGAGATGTATGCATATACACACATATACTCACATACACAGACACATAGACATACATGCAGTTACATAGAAACACAGTCATACACAGATACAGACAAACACACATACAGACACACAGGCACAGACACACATACAGGTAGAGACACACACATACAGACACAGTGATACAAACACAGACACACAAACAGATACACAGACACATACAGATATGCATATACCAACACACATACAGATAGACAAACAGATACACAGACACACATGTATAAATAGTAGTGTGTTTGTATAGTGAATGGTGATGTGAGAGGGAGAGGGGGTGATGGTGTGAGGGAGGGGGGGACGGACTAAATACCTTATTTCTCTGGTGGTCCGGTGGCCATGATATCTTGCGAGACCCAGTCAGAGCGTTGCCGTGGTAATCCGCAGCAACGCTCTGATTGATCAGATCTCGCAAGGCACACTGCGGAGTTGTAAACCGGTGTCTGCGATGGGCGCAGGAGGGGCATCGCGCCCTCCTGGTGTCGGATCCTCGGTCAGTGACCCAGGACCCGACACAGTCTGCCCCGGGCACCCCCCTAGTGAGTGGCACCCGGGGCAGACCTCCCACCCTTTAGTACACAACCGGGCAGAGCAGCAACCATGGTGAGAGTGGTGTAGCATGGGATTAAAGGAGAGGAAAACATATTTTTACAGTACTACATTTGCATTTTTAACATTAGAGTTTCCTTTTCCTTCCAGCCTATGAGCTGGTGTCCTTCTACCTGAGAGTGGGGCAAAAAGGCCACATAAATGTCTGCAGGTAACATGCAGTTCTCAGGACCTTGTAGATCAAAGCATTTTCTATCCCTTCATATAAAGTCAGGTTACCTGACCTCCAAAGAACTATTCCTTCAAACCACTTACCTGTGACTGTGAAGACGAATGCACAGATAGAAAAGATCCATGATACTTTGTCATTACTTTCATGAAAGTAGTCTTTGAGTTCATCAAAGAAAACTCCAAAAGTATTGACGATTCCGTATGTGAAGGCTTCCACAAAGAAAAAGGCCACGGCAATCACCCAGCCCCAGCCTCCATCAGGCACCTTCGTATAAACATTGGGGCGCATAAATTTCTTGATAGCAATCATGTTCGCCCTGAGAATACAAAGCCATAATACATCATACACATTTTGTGAAAAATAGTTACATTTACCCATAGCATGTTATCTCCGAAGAAGTCACATTCTTTTGCTTTTCTAATCTCCATGGGCAGAAATAGGATGGTTGTAAGACTAAATGGACACTCTAAGCACTATAATCACTGCAGATTATTTTAGTGGTCCGGGTGCTAAAACTCTACAGGTGCTGTCCATCAGTTTGCTGTCAAACCATTTTGGAGCAGTTAGACATAAATCAGGAATCCCCTTGCAGCCACATTGAGAATGGAGAATTTATACTTCTGTAGCAGCAATGAGAAAGTGTCACTGCCATCCAATGTCAGATAGCTTTGCAATTGATAATGCAGAAGTGTACTTTTTATATGATCAGAAGAGGAATGTTTTTGTCTCTACTACTCCAAAAAGGTATGAGGGCAAATATGGAGACAATGCCAAACAAAATAATTACACCATTTATAAACAGCAAACCGTTGTAGTGGTTATGGTGCTTAGTGTTCCTTTAAATATACAAATATTCTTATTAATACTTGATGTTATGTCACATTAAAGTATGTATGTTATTCTGAAAATACAGTAGTCAATCAACACAGATTTTCATTTTCAAATTATTTCAGTAAATGTACTTTGTGTAACATACACACACTAATGTTCATCTTTCAAAGGTTACTGCCAGTGTGAATTGCCAGAAATGCAAAGTGATTAATTCTGGCAGAATTTTTATTTCCAATGACAGCCCCAAAATTTTTCAAATCAACTATTGTGACTTTACAGGAACTCTCTAAGTAACATAACCATTACATTGTGTTTTACTAATTATGGTACCAGGATCCCTCCACGGTTACTAGTCGACTATGCTATTGCTAGGAGCTTCCATTTGCTCTTCTGAGTTAAATCCTGACATGTATGGCCAGCTCAGGCCTACAGCTTAGTAAGATACAGCTTTATAGTGCTTTATAGAGCGGGTTAACTTTGTAAAAAGAGTTTCTGGCTTCACAGATGAGGAGACTGGCACCCAGGGCATTCCTGGCATTACACTACATTACATGACATTACATTACAGGGCTCTAGTGGTTATGATGCTTTCTGAGTGTTCATTTAAAATCCCAGGAATTCATACTTGTATAAACCTGTGAGTTATTGATTATAAGAGCCATTTATATATTAGCATAAAAATTAAAAATAGGAATGTTTAATACTAACCTGACCATTTAACAAATAGCCTCACTCTTTTCTCAGATCCGAGTTAAAGTTAATATTTACTTAAAAGTGATTGGTGAACAGGGTACTGAAGGCTGTGCAAGCAATGTGCAAAGCAAGGAGGAAATAAGGCTGTCTGCCCGTGACATCACAATATTTATGAGTTATGCAGGAAAGGCTGTCATAGATAGATATGTTTAATATCTTCACTTTTTTCCAATAAAAAGCTTGATCTTACTTTTTTCAAAGAAAACACAGAAAAGGCTGCGCCTAATAGAATAAAAATAGTGATAAAACAAAGTCCCAGTCAGATTAGTGACAGTAATACGAGAAAGTTCCAATATTGTCCAAACTGGTGTAGTGTCTCCTTTGTTTTCAGTTGTCCGTCTCACGATATGAAAGACACAATGGGAGAGAAAACCAATCGTGCAGATAGTATAAATAAGTGGTAGTGAATATAAAATATAGATTTTGCACTCACATTTCCATGAGCTAGAACTAGCTCTAGTTTGATGGGCATACAGCGGACAACCCTCCGCTTATAGGGGTGCTTTTCCTCCTGGGGAGTGCCGGTATCCAATTCTCAGAAAGAGAGAAAAACAGCAAATAGTGCTCTCTGATGAAATATTTGGTAAAAGGAGTTAAAAGAAAATAAAATATACTCACAAGTAGAGTGCAGTCCTTTCTGCACTCTATTTAGTGCATGGGTGGTATGATCCCCACCTTAGGATATGCCAGGAACAGTGAATAAAATAGTAAAAGGAATAAGTAATATAATATATAATTTATTCGATATAGAATATAAAATCAATAGTTTAATATAAAATATAAAAACCAATAACGCGTTTCGCCTGATAGGCTTTATCAAATTGGGATAGAACCATAACCTGGCACAAGAGGAGTATATATAACTTATGCATAGATTCAAAATTGGCGCCAAAATTGAGCACCAATTAGAGCTGTGCAAATTGTACATACAGTATATACAATAAAAAGATAAAAAAGAATATACAGTATTAATATATTGAATATTACAATATTGTTTACATGCTTTTAATGTAAAAACGAAGGTTATATTATATATATAAACCTAAAATGAATAAATCGTGCGTGTCACGTGACCCGCTAAGCACCATGGGATTTGTAGTGCGTGGGCCACGTGACCGCAAAGAAATGAGCTGATGATAAGCTGTCCGTGCGGCTAATGCTAAGAAGAACGGCACGCACGGGCAGCTGGGAGGGGTTAAGCAATGTCACGCGACCCGCGGCGTCGAACACCTACAGTATCCGCGGGTCACGTGACCGAAGCTAGGAAGATAGTGTATGAGCTGTCCGTGCGGCTAATACTGGAAAGGGCGGCACGCACGGGCAGCGGGGAGGAGTAGGGCTATGTCACGTTACCCGCGACGTCACATAGCTTCAGTACCCGCGGGTCACGTGACCAAAGCTAAAAGGATTATGGGAAATGAAGTATTAAGCATGAATATATAAAATACAATATATAAGGAATAAATGAAGGGTAAAATGATGTTTAAAAGATATACAATAGATCTGCCCTTGAAATACACAAGAAAAGGAGCATAAATACAAATAAAATATTAACAGAAAGACATGCAAGAAATAAATAAACTGTTTTAAATGGATGAGTCAGTATAATAAAACCACTTAATAAAAAACAAGTAAATAAGAAAAACAATACAATTGCAAGGTTTATAAAAAATTGAATAAATCAAAGTCTACATTTAGACCTTGGGGCGTTAGGGTCTGTAAATAAAATACCCATTCCATCTCTGATCTGCCAAGAATGTTTTTTATATTTCCACCTCTCCAAGGTATTTGGCATTTTTGAATTCCTAAACATTTGAGAAATTTTGGGTCTCGATTATGATTAATAAAGTGCTTGGATACAGAATGGTTAAGATATCCATTTCTTATATTCCTGCAGTGTTCTGCTAGTCTTATCTTTAAACATCTGGTGGTCATACCCACGTATTGGAGGCCACACGGGCACTCTAATAAATAAATAACGTTGGTAGTATTACACCCAATGAAGTCTTTTATATTATAACTTTTGTTGGTTTGGTTGGATTTAAAACTAGTAGTTTTTGATTTGGTTGTTGGATCAGTATTTTTACATACAGTACAGCGTTTACATTTGTAAAAACCTTTTGCCCCATCTAAAAAAGTGTGATTAATATTTTTAATTTCTTTGGTATAATTGTTAGTTAAAATTGATCTAAAATTAGGTGCCCCCCTAAAAACAATTTTTGGCTGTGTTGGTAAAATTTCTTTGAGCAGATCATCCTGTCTTAAGCCCAGAGGCAAACGGAGTGGCAGAAGAGAGCAAAAAAGAGAGACTAGAAAGATAAAAAACACCCAAAAAGAATCAGATGTTGGCATTTTTAACCTATCCAATAAAATCTTAAATGCAGCACAGATTTCTGTTTTAAGTAAAGGATTAAAATATGCTCCAACCAATTCTTTTAAACCCTTTGAAGCATTCTTAGATGTTAATAAGTTTGTACGTAAGGCTACGTTGAAAAGATTTTTTAAAGCACAATCCTCAAACACTAACCCTGCCCTCTCCCATTCCCTTACACCTACGGATCAATCTACTTTTATTAATACAAATCTTAAACCTAAATCTACTTTTTATCCATATCATTTTAAATCAGCCCCTTTGGTGATGTTCGAAAAATCTGTTCTGAGAGATCTTAATAAGATTAAATTCAATAAATATGATACTCAAAACCTAAATATATTGGAAAAAACAGCTATTAAACAACTCCAAGAGGACAAAGAAATAGTAATCAAACCGGCCGATAAAGGTGGAGGTGTTGTAATTCAATCAACTGACATGTATATTAAAGAAGCTTATAAACAGTTAAATGACACTGAAGTATATGAAAAACTAAAAAGAGACCCCACCTCGAACATACAACAAAAACTAATAACTTTTTTACAAAAGGGTCTAAATAACAACATTCTGAATAAAAAAGAATTTGACTATTTATTTATTAAGAATCCTAAAATTCCGGTCATTTATTTCCTACCTAAAATACATAAAGATGCCAAGCACCCTCCAGGAAGACCGATAGTATCTGGGATAGGTTCTCCTTTGTGTAACTTATCCCAGTACATTGATATTTTACTTCAGCCATCTGTTAAATTAATGAAGTCTTATTTAAAAGATTCCATGTCATTACTGAGATTTTTAAATGATTTTAAGTGGAAATCAGATTTCATACTTGTCTCCTGTGACGTTACGTCCTTGTACACCATCATCCCTCATCAACTTGGATGCAATGCAGTTAAAACCATTTTATCAAATGAAAACAAAATTCCAGCTGCTCAGATTGATTTTATTGTAGATGGTATTAATATTATTTTAGACAGCAACTATTTCTGGTTCTATGACTCTTTTTATCTCCAAAAGAGGGGGACAGCTATGGGGACCAGGTTTGCTCCCAGTTATGCCAATCTCTTCATGGCGGATTGGGAAACTACCGCCGTTTGGGGACGGCATGCCTGGGAGCATAATCTGGTCTCCTATTTTAGGTATATAGACAATCTGTTTTTTATATGGAAGGGTTCTGAAGAAAGTTTGAACTCTTTATATCTCATCTTAATTTTAACAATAGAGGTATCATTCTAACTTGCGAATATAGTAAAAATTCTATTAATTTTTTAGATCTAAATATTTTTATCAAAGATGGCAAAATACATACGAAAACATTTTTTAAGAAAGTATGTACTAACACAGCAATCGACCA